GTGTGTGTGTATGCGCGCACATACATGTATAAAAGTGAGAGCTGGAGACTGAGTGTGTGTGTCAAGGTTCTGCCAGTCCCTGTTTTTTAAATGACTCTGTGTCTTAATCAGGGACCCCATTTACATCACTTTGCATAAGTGACAGTAGGATTTATTGTCCTTTTACACTGGCTGACTTTTGCACCTATCCATATAATACTGAATCATCTCTCCACAGGGAGGAATGAATGTGCTGCTGTGAACGAATACAAATGATTTCCACATACTTGAGGTGATGATGAATCAAATATATGAAAGCCAGGAGCAGCATATGAAATTTGATTTGATCTACTCTGTGTGTGCGACAAACCACATCATTGTCAGTCATGTAATGGGTAGCAGTGGCCTAGTTAAACTTAAACAACCCCCTCCAGCAGTTTTCTCCTTCACATCCACACACTCACATCTATCTATCTATATAGATAGATACTGGTACCCCTCCCCCTGTCAGGTCTGCCTTGTGTTCCTTGAGCAATCAAGCCCCAACGATTGTTCTCCATCACATAGCCTGCTCCGGACCGGCCCCTCACCATCTGTGAGGTTATTACTCTTTTTAATGCAGGCCATCAGAACACTGCCTCACCGACACACACGCATGCACGCACACGTCTCACTTTGTGTCAGATCTATAAATCAATACTAGTCACAAACATTTAATCTGCAAGTTAATTCTGTCCGCTGTCCAGCGCCGGATAAGAAGTTGTCACAAAATGAGAGATGCTGTCAAGAGTGAACTAAGCATTGGCTAACAAAAGGCCGTGATGCACACTGTAAGTGGCACAATGTTGGTGACTGTGTGCACACGTGAATACTCCCCCTCTGCGACGCTGCGGAGGCTTCGAGCAGTAAAATGCATATCTCTTTACCTTCAAGAAGTCATCCATCAAAGTTGGCCGTGACACGTCTAAGTACTCGGGCACCCGGGTGAGGAATTTGCCCGGGCCTTGCCACAGTTGGACCTGGAGCCAGTCGGCCGCTGTGCACCGACAGACTGCAGGACAACTCGCGCAGTCACACACAGGAACGCATGTATGCTTAGCAGTTTTCCTATCCAGTGATTTGAGAGAGAAAAGATGAGTCTATTAATCAGAAACCATTCATTTATTTAGACACAGTTTTTCCATCAGGCATAATATATGAGACTTGCAACCAGCCATTAAGCCATTATCTTTACACTGGCTGCAGCATGGCCGGTAATGAAAATAATGTGAAGTTTTGCTATAGATTACGGTAGTTTTGATTTCATATTTGAAATGGCATAACTAAGGTAATATGCCCTAAAACATACTAAGGCACCAGTAACTTATTCATGTATTTTGATTGATTTGGAGGGAAAGCTTTTAGTACTCCTCTGATCTGATTTCTTTGCTGTTCTTTTTGCACGAGATCGATGCAAAAATTGAATCGGGAGCCCAGCTTCTGGAAGAAATGCAGTGGACGGTGAGGGAGCAGAGGGAGGATGTATTCTGCCTGTAACGTGGTTACCTAGAATGGGCTTTGAGGGAGATTTTGAGTGACATCAGACCAGCGCCACAACTCTATCAGTGGACAAATCATGAGTGATTTCAGAGCAAGAAGATGGTGTGGATGCTGGTGGGTGGAAAGATGTGGAAAAGCCAGGAGTAGAAACAAAACTAGCCGCTGCTCCACGTGTTTGTAAAGAGAGAGAAAGGTGCCAAAGAGGAGATATTTTCCTGTAGATGACACCTGGATGCCAGTGATGTGTAGTTAAAGCTGCTAAAACCCTACAGGATTCTCTTCATGCTTAGAAGGGAAACACAGCATTAAAATTTAGTTAATGTCTCTCATCTTGGAGGACAATACTTATCTTGCTACAATGAAACTGTTTAGCGCTGCGATGAAATTATTAAAACCTTTAACTGAATTTTTTTTTAACCATCGACCTGGCAGCAGGTTCATTTTACAAGCACTCTTTAAACGAGATTTGCGAGAGAGAGAAAATTCAAATGGTTCCTGAAAGATGAGAATTATTTCTGTAATTTTGAACTCAAAATTACCAGTTTTACCAAATTCTGATATTTAACAGGTACATTTTAACCTGATGCAGCACTTTGTACCATATTTCTATTCTTGGACTCTCCCAGAGAGGCTTTCCGTGATTCACATGTCACAATAATCCTTGCTTTTCTTAAACTTGGTTTTAGTCCAGAGAAAACATTTAACCTTCTCTCCTTTTAAGCTATCATCCTGGCTGTCCCTTGTGGACATATGGTTTGAACCGCACGTCAGTGCCTGAAATGAACACATTAACGATATTTGCTCTTTTTGACTTTATACAGAACCAAAGAAAAGCTGTGTGAAACTGGGTCACAGTAGTAAACTGACATTGCTATTGCTAGAATAATCCTGCTACCATTGCTATGAAGAAATAGCCACATTAATAAACGGAATCAATAAAAGACTAATAACCCAAGAAATATATATAAGAGCAGACTGATCCTTTCTCACTGAGTCACTGTCCAACTGGACCTGTGTTTAAGTGTGTATAAAGACAGCAGGGTGAAGGTCTTTCGGGGAACATGATGGCTCCACTCTTGTGTGCTTATGTTTGTCAAGTCTAGACACTGACAGCAGCAGAGGAGCAGAGCGTGGCCTTGAGGTCAGGAAGTGATGTCTGTTAGGAGGCAGAAACCTGTAAACGGTTGCGTTTGTGCTGTTTGGGAAGCACTCTGGGAGCCCTCCTGGCACGTCACCATTTATTTTCTAAAGCTGCAGGGCTGAGAGGACAAGCCAAAAAAGTGACTTGCCTGCTGGGAAACTCGACAACATTCACATGGTCCTGAAAGAGGAAGGTTGGGAGGTGGTTGGAAAGCTGATGCCAGGCAGAATGCTTTGCCCTTCAGATGAGAGAAGATTTTAGTCAAGTGACACAAATGGCAACCTGCCAGCTCTTCAATAACTGCTAATAAGAGCATGAGTGAATTGTCAGAGCAGTGGAGAATTTCTGGAGACTTGTTTTGAGCTCATAGGAAGCGCTCACACACAGATGGCTCTTCTGCATACAGTAACCGTCCTTGTTCTGTGGACAGCTCTCTTCACTCTAAACCCCTGCTCCCTGAAAGCCTGCACGAATGATCTCACCCTCTGCATGTGAATTTTAATTGTGCATTAGTCCTATAGCCCTTCTGCTTGCTTCATATATGAAGGAGTCTTGTTGTTCCCTGCTCTGTGAACAGCCATGCTATAGAGGAGCAGTCCCACGTGACCGCATGTGAAGAGCACCACACATGCAGTTTAGCGCCAGTGTTTGGTTAAAGCGTTGCCCCCGAGCCGCTGTAAGTGTGCTGCTCATGTTGCCCGAGCCCTGCCACAGGATCCGGCGTTACACGCTGATCTGCTGAACACGAACATTGTTTTACAACCAGCAGCGCATCCATCATTCTAACTACTAGAGAGCCATCGCAAACGATGAGGGGCCACTGTGGCGATAATAGCCGAAGATTGTCCGCCGTCATGTATCGCTGCCTCTTGTCTGAGACGATGCCACTGAGAAGAGGCCTTTGTTAAAAACAATCTTACACAGCGAGGATTAAATGGATGCCATCTGTGTCTTCTTGTCTTCATTTAGAACAGCTAAAGGCACAACGTGTCATAGCCGAGCCCCGGCAGGCTGTGAGCCATGAGCTACTGATGGCATTTCGCTCTGTTTGTACTGCACTATGCCAATGTTGTGCCTGCGAGCCTCCCAGCTCTA